AATAATTTGTTAGGAATTTTGTCCGGGCCTGTTGCCTTGTTGATGTCTAAGGAATTTAGAATTTTGAGAACTTCGGGCTCGGTGACTTGGACATCCGTTAGCGGAGGAATAGGGGGAACAGGAATAGGGATTTCAGGCATTTGCAAGTTGTGTGTGTCTAGTCGAGTCTGGGATGCAAAGTGGTCATTTAAGATTGTCGCTTTGTCAAAGTCGTCTGAGATTGGTATGCCGTCTTGATTTATAAGCGGTGGCATGCTACGATGAGTCCTTTTTCCGATAATACTGTTTAAAATTTTGTAATATGATCGTGGGTCCTTTTTATGGTCAAGAAGTTTGTCAATTTGGTTTTGTATGTGTCTATTTTTAAGTCTTTGGTTTGTCTCTGTGGTCTTGTTTCGCTGTCGTCTCCATCGTTCCCAGTCATCGTCCGTGTTACGTCTTTTTGCTATGTTGAAAAGCCTATTCCGCTTGCGTATTTCTCGTTTAAGTTCAATGGTAAGCCATGGTTTGTCGTGAGATTTTATTGTAATTTTCCGACTTGGAATGGCTGCTTTGGCTGCAGTTAATAGAGCGTCAGTCAAGTTATATGCTGCGTCGTCCAAGTCACAGTCCAAAAGTCTGTCCCAGTCAGTGTCCATCAAAAGTCGTGTCAGTTTGTCTGCGTCCATATGTCTGTAGTCCCATAGTTTAATGGAATATGTTACGCTGGAGGGGCGACTTATGTTAAGACAGGCAAATATTGGTAAATGATCAATTTTTGAAAAAGGAGGAAGTGTACCACTGTCAAGGACCATTTCTGGGTTTGATACTATAAGAAGATCGCGTAAATTGGTAACACTGGTGTCTGCATAACGTGTGGGTTGATTAATGAGCTGCTTGAGGTTGAGTGAATAAAGTTCATCCTGTAGGGTAATTTCAAATGGTGTTACGGGGCTATGGTTAAATAAGTCTGAGTTGAGATATGTGTTTCCAGCATTAAAATCTCCCAAAATAACAATATTGTCTGGTGAGTGGACTTGAGCTAGGGTTATGGATTCGTTTAAGTTTTCTAAGAAATTAGTATGCTGTGGTGCGGTCATATTCGGAGGAAGGTATACTGTGCACACTATTACACTAAATTTACCTAATTTTATCAGACACCAAATCCATTCATAGTCGTGATGTTCGAGATGAAAGAGTCGTTTAACCGGAATATTACTGCGAACGTACATAGCCACCCCTCCCCCATTTCTATTCCTATGTTTAGTTAATGGGTCATGAAAGTTGTCAAGGGTGTAAAGAGAAGGGTGTACTGTGTCGTCAAGCTTTGTCTCAGAAAGTCCCAGTATGTCGATCTCGTGAAGAGAGGAAAAGTAGGATAGCTCGTCAAGTCGGCAGCGAGATGTGATGGAATTTATATTTACGTGTGATACGATGATGTGGTTGTTGTGGCTTCCGCTTGAAGATCTAGAATGTGTTGACGTGTCTGGTGTAGACGCCGCCGACCCAACTGAAGCAGCCCGGCACCCGGGACCTGAAGAAAGTGAAATGACGCTCAGCAGATGTCGGTGGCGCGGCGACGGGCGATAAACAGAACATTCACATAACAAAACAATCAAACAACAAGACCAAACAATGCATATAACAAAATAACTCAGATAGACGGTAAAATTAAACGATTTAAACTTACGGAAACTGACAAAAACAAAAACAAAACAAATGGCAAAGCAGAACGTAGCAGAAAGAATACACATGGATAAATACATCTGAACTCTAAAACTACTTGCATTCACTGCTGACACTTAAAAGAGTACCTTACGTCACACGAAGAGTTTAACAAACCCAAGCCGACGCCCCGACCCCCCCCCCCATCCCCATCCCCCAGCCGCCACCCCGGAAGCCCGGTCGTAATCCCAGATCCAAACAGCCCCCCCCCCGTCGCATCCAAACCCCAGCTCTCCCTCCCCTCGGAAGCCCCAAGCACAAGGCAATAGTACCCAAACACTTGATCACCTGTACCGCCCACTACACGCCGACCACCAAACCAGCGTCGACGGAGACGAGCGACGACCAGAGACGAGCGAGGACGTCAGTCGCCCGTCTGAGGACCGACGACCGTGGACGTCAGGCGGGCAGACAGCCGGCCGCCGGCACCGCCAACGGCGCAGGCAGCCGGCCACGACGCCGACAACGAGCAGGGACGGCAGCCAGGCAGCCGGCCGCCGGCACCGACGACCATGGCGCAGACAGACGACCGGGGACGCAGACGGACAGCCGCCGCCGTCGGCACCGAACACAGCGCCGGCAGAGACGAGCGGGAACGGCAGGCGGGCAGCCGGCCGCCGGCACCGACCACGGCGTCGACGGAGACGTAGACAGCGGGGCTCAGCAGGCGGGTAGTCGGCTGTCGGCACCAACCACGGCGTCGACGGAGACGTAGACAGCGGGGCTCAGCAGGTGAGCAGCCGGCCGCCGGCACCGACCACGGCGTCGACGGAGACGTAGACAGCGGGGCTCAGCAGGTGGGCAGCCGGCCGTCGGCACCGACCACGGCGTCGACGGAGACGGAGACAGCGGGGCTCAGCAGGCGGGCCGCCGGCCGTCGGCACCGACCACGGCGTCGACGGAGACGTAGACAGCGGGGCTCAGCAGGTGGGCAGCCGGCCGTCGGCACCAACCACGGCGTCGACGGAGACGTAGACAGGGGGCTCAGCAGGTGGGCAGCCGGCCGTCGGCACCGACCACGGCGTCGACGGAGACGTAGACAGCGGGGCTCAGCAGGTGGAGACGTAGACAGCGAGAACGGCAGGCGGGCAGCCGGCCGTCGGCCCGACCACGGCGTCCACGGAGGCGTAGACAGCGGGGCTCAGCAGGCGGGCTGCCGCCGTCGGCACCGAACACAGTGCTGGCAGAGACGAGCGGGAACAGCAGGCGGGCAGCCGGCCGTCGGCACCGACCACGGCGTCGACGGAGACGTAGACAGCGGGGCTCAGCAGGCGGGCAGCCGGCCGTCGGCACCGACCACGGCGTCGACGGAGACGTAGACAGCGGGGCTCAGCAGGTGGGCAGCCGGCCGTCGGCACCGACCACGGCGTCGACGGAGACGTAGACAGCGGGGCTCAGCAGGTGGGCAGCCGGCCGTCGGCCTGACCACGGCGTCGACGGAGACGTAGACAGCGGGGCTCAGCAGGTGGGCAGCCGGCTGTCGGCCCGACCACGGCGTCGACGGAGACGGAGACAGCGGGGCTCAGCAGGTGGAGACGTAGACAGCGGGAATGGCAGGCGGGCCGCCGGCCGTCGGCCCGACCACGGCGCTGACGGAGACGTAGACAGCGGGGCTCAGCAGGTGGGCAGCCGGCCGTCGGCCCGACCACGGCGTCGACGGAGACGTAGACAGCGGGGCTCAGCAGGTGGGCAGCCGACCGCCGGCACCGACCACGGCGTCGACGGAGACGGAGACAGCGGGGCTCAGCAGGTGGGCAGCCGGCCGTCGGCACCGACCACGGCGTCGACGGAGACGTAGACAGCGGGGCTCAGCAGGTGGGCAGCCGGCCGTCGGCACCGACCACGGCGTCGACGGAGACGTAGACAGCGGGGCTCAGCAGGTGGGCAGCCGGCCGTCGGCACCGACCACGGCGTCGACGGAGACGGAGACAGCGGGGCTCAGCAGGTGGAGACGTAGACAGCGGGAACGGCAGGCGGGCAGCCGGCCGTCGGCCCGACCACGGCGTCGACGGAGGCGTAGACAGCGGGGCTCAGCAGGCGGGCTGCCACCGTCGGCACCGAACACAGTGCCGGCAGAGACGAGCGGGAACGGCAGGCGGGCAGCCGGCCGTCGGCACCGAACACAGTGACGGCAGAGACGAGCGGGAACGGCAGGCGGGCAGCCGGCCGTCGGCACCGACCACGGCGTCGACGGAGACGGAGACAGCGGGGCTCAGCAGGTGGGCAGCCGGCCGTCGGCACCGACCACGGCGTCGACGGAGACGTAGACAGCGGGGCTCAGCAGGTGGGCAGCCGGCCGTCGGCACCGACCACGGCGTCGACGGAGACGGAGACAGCGGGGCTCAGCAGGTGGAGACGTAAACAGCGGGAACGGCAGGCGGGCAGCCGGCCGCCGGCCCGACCACGGCGTCGACGGAGGCGTAGACAGCGGGGCTCAGCAGGCGGGCCGCCGCCGTCGGCACCGAACACAGTGCCGGCAGAGACGAGCGGGAACAGCAGGCGGGCAGCCGGCCGTCGGCGTTGACGTCACCCGGGGAGCCGTCAACGCGGTAATCGGTCCGTCTGATGGTTTGACAAATTGTTCACCTATACACAGCGCCACTTGGCAACCAAACACTGTGTTCGTGATCAGTTGTCAAAAGCTGTGTTCGATTGCTTTTCATCTGTCGTATTTTCTACTCGGCGGCTGTATTAATCCAGACTGGGTGTTGGACCCCTTGGCTAGATCATCGAACCCCTCGGTGTGAGAGCCCTCGGCGGGACCCCGGGCCAAGACATGATGATAAGTAGCGTCGGATAACAATCTACCGACCAGCGGCGAGCGCCGCAATGAATTCCTTGTTGACTGTCATCAACACTTCATAACGTGAGAGCTCATCAGTGTGTAAACCAGTCCATGAACCACCACAAATAACATGAACCCCGTCGCAGCTCCACCCGCCGCCTGCCCCGCCGGCAGTGTCAGCGACTGCCGGCAGTGTTAGCCCGTGTCGGTGTCCCCGTGCGTCGCGCCGGCGGGCGGACCGCTCAGCGCCGCGCCGCCCGCTGGGCCGTGCTGTCGGCGGCGGCGGACGACGTCGGCGCCCGCTGCGCCCCACGTGGCCGGCCGGGCGGCGCTGCGTGTCGGCCAGCGGCCGCCGCCGCCGGCACTCCGACTGGAATGTGCGGCACGGGGCGGCCCGCCGACCGGCCGGCCGGCCAGCCCGAGCGGCGGCTCCCGGCCTTCGCCGAGCGCGCGCGGCCGGCCGGCCGAGCGGCCGGGCGGCGCGGCGCGCTGCCAGTAGTGCGCCGGGCAGCGTCAGTGCCGGCCGGCCCCAAATGGCTCGGTGAACGCTCGGAGGCAGGCGGCCGTGTGCGTGTGTGAGTGTGAGGGTGTGTGAGCCATGTCGCGCAGTGTGAACAGTGACTATGGTGTGCTGCCCGCGAGGGGCATCCTGCGTAAGAAGCAGGCTGGTGAACAGAAACAGGGCAGCGTCTGTGGACAGAGCGATACAGCGCTGCTAGAACGGCCCGGCAAAAAGGCGCCCAGCGCAGAGGCACAAGCCCAGGTATGTAGGAGATATGAGTCGCGACTACAGTGTCGTGCTGAAAGGTCACGGGAGAAACTGGGAAGCTGCTTTATCGACCGCCAGGAGAGCTATTTGTCTCTCTTGATGTTTAACCCGCGAGTTGCTGGGGGGGGGGCGTTAAACGCCCCCACTTTTTTCGCCGGGCCATAGCATAAAAACGCGCGCCAAATTTTGGGTACCTGTAGGGAATTGATTGAAGTTTATTGTGACAAAGTTTCAAAAAAATCGGTCGGAAAATTTTTGAGATATCGAAGTTTTAGTGACGTCATGATTTCTGAGTTTTCGACCAAAAACGGCATATGTTCAAAAAATCATATAAAATCACAGAATAGACATACAGACATGCTGTAAACGCCATTAGACCGCCAATACCATGATCAATCAAATGGCTATCTTCGATTATTGATTATCGTTCCGCATTTTCCATAATCTTGAACTGAATCTTGGCAGTTTTTCGTGACTACTTCACGACCATGATACATGAATTTCTTAAATTGAACTTTTTGAGCCAAACACGTACACATATGATAAAATAAATGTCACCATCGTGTTCTACGCCCCAAATTACCTATAAAACATGTGTCACAGGCTGCGAATATCAGTTTTGATTTTCGGGGATATGTGCCTACCCGGTTGACCTGACCTTGACCCTGACCTATGCTTGACTGACCCCTACATAGAGCTGACACTCTTGTAGGCCTTATAAGATGGATTGTGCACCGTTTTGACAGAGTTTATGGCGAGAGGCGCCCATTGCGAAGTCCTGAAGTCCATGCTACTGAAAGCCCGATTTCAGGTGTTTGACCTGACCTTGACCCGACCTGTGACCTCAAAATTCAACTTTAAAGTACTCATCTGAAGCGTCTCGTCGCGCTCTTTCGTTTGCCGCCTCGTGCGTTTCGCTGCGCCTATTGGTTCTCGAGTTATCGGCTGGGGGCGTTTGACGCCCCCCCCCCCCCCAGCAAACGGTGGGTGGCGAAATACCCCAGCAACTGCCGGGTTAACGCCAGATCTGTTTCCACAGGATTTTGGTTTTCATTAGCTTAGGCACTGAGAGGGCTGGTAAAAGTTCGGATCCAGCAGCATTGTTTATTTCAATAGAAGTGAAAATGTTAAAATGATTCTGTTTTACCACTCTACGAACAACATCCCACATAACACACACATATCATAACCATGTGGTAACCATATGGGCATGCCCATCTATTTCACATGGTGCCCACATGGGCTGCCCATATGGGCACCACACATATTTGGAAGGTGTTTCTGCATGGTAACCATATGGGCTGCCCCATGTGGTAACCATATGGGCTGCCCCATGTGGTAACCATGTGGGCTGCCCCATGTGGTAACTATATGGGCTGTCCCATGTGGTAACTATATGGGCTGCCCCATGTGGTAACCATATGGGCTGCCCCGTGTGGTAACTATATGGGCTGCCCCTGTGGTAACCACGTGGGCTGCCCCATTTGGTAAGCATATGGGCTGGCGGGCTGCCCATATGCAATCAATCGCAGCTTGTCGCAAATGGCAGATTATCGGCTGTCCCACGCGAGGACTCCATATACCACCTATTGGTTGTAAGTTCTTTTGCAGCTTAAAACAGCTCGTTTTTCATCCCTCCTCGTACATCGATAAGTTAATAGTTACGAAAGTTTCATTTCAGCGTAGGTATATTCACTTCAATATTCAGATGACAGACACTTGACATGAGATGAGAGACATGTTACACGGTGCCGCCCTCGTTGCCAGCGTTAGCGTCACGTTCAACGTTCCTGCCGTTGCTGCTGCCAAGGCCATATAAGTTGCTGTTGCCACCGCCGCTGCTGGTGGTGCCGCCGCCACTGCCGTTCCTGGTGGATCGAAATAGGTGTTTCAGTGTCACCATCCAAGTCAGTATTCACAAAAAATTATCTGAACACAAATATTTCTTTTAAAAATGTATATATTTCTTTAAAAAAAAAAATATTTCTAAAAAAAATATTTCTTAATATTTATATCACAGTCAATAGCTTTTCAAGTCATCCACACAACACGTCACAGTCACATCATATCATATCATCACAAGCTGACGTCACGCCACGTCACTGAGTCACTCACGTCGTCGGCCGCCGTTCCGTTTCATTCATTCATTCATTCAGTGTATTTTGGTAACCACGAACAAAAAATATCGGCGAAAATAATCGCAAATATTATTTTTATTTTAAATAAAAATAATAAAATAAAGCCGTCAACATCCGTTTGCCTCCAGCTACACATCTTGAGCGAGGATGTCGTCCGTCGAGTCTCGTATCGCGTATTATTGCTGGGCTGAACTTCATGAAGGCTGAAATTAAATGCCATTCGTATAATCACAATCAGGCATTATGGCCAGATGTGTAAAGACGAGCCAGTCTTAGCAAAAGGATAGAAATAGTGAGGCTATGGGTTAATTCAGTGAGTATCCTATTTCAGTTCAGATATTTTAGTGCATATCACCTACATATTTAGCCGTTAATGCTTGTTGCAATAATTCGGATCAATTTTCTGATTATAGTTAAGTACACAACATGGCAGAAACTTACATTGTCAGAAGAGGAGACGGCAGACGCACGACACTACACACTCAACACACCCACTGCACCCCTTGGACGGGCTTGAAACTGGTAGCGACACAACGCGACAGAAGGGGACGCCCGGTCTCCCCTCACCGCCTCAGGCGAGGATCGTCCCGGGACGCCCGGGACGCCCGCCGACCATAATATAATATTAGGAACCATAATATTATGGTTGATCGAAGGTGCTAGGCACGATTTGATGACCTTTCTGGATGGGTATTTTCATCGTTCAGCTGGTATTTCATTTTATTACACCGAGAAAGGATGGGCCCATTCTTACCTTGGTCTATGTTTTTACATATCCCTGGTTAGTTGAGACGTTTTAGCTGTAGTTGTATTCGTAAGCCCTCGAGGACCTTCACATTGCCAATAATTATGTGGGCCTGTAAAATAAAAAAGTAATAAAGCTCTCGCCTACTATGTCATTATTAGGAATCAAGGGCCAAGTTGTATCGTTGAAGGCATCTTTATGAGGGTAAGTTTCCTGTTATGATAGTGGACAAACATGATATCAACTTACCGCTTCAGGTTTCCACACATTTTAAAACTAGCCATTCCCATTTTGGCTGAAGTGCAGTTCCCTGTTTGACAGCTATCCGCAGCGGATATACTCGACGCTAATTCTGCCACCGTTTCGGTTCAGCAGTCTTGGAGCGACAGAGGATCCGGAGATAAATCTGCCCGGTCACTTTCAGGACCATAGGATCATCCGTGTTGCGCGGGCGCTCTGGGCCGTCCCTGGGCCGGGCTGATCCGCTGTTTGGCCGGCCGGCCGACAGGGCACCTGTTCACCACCGGCCGGCTAATGTCTTGTTTTGATGTCAGCGCGAACGGTGCGAGGGAGCGCGGGGTCGGGATGGCGGCCGGCAGCCGTCAACAGCCGCCTTCCCTCCCTCCCTCCCTCCCTCCCTCCCTCTCCCCCTCCTCCCCTCTCTCCCTCCCTCCTTCGCTCCAACAGGGGCCGGCACAGCAGGAGTTGACCCTGTTCTGAGAGCTATCAAGGGCCCTGATGGTTCAGCAGGACTGCATAAGCTGGCCAGGTAGCATCGTAGGGAGACATACCATCGTAGGCATACCGGTGTACCAAATTACACCGGAGAGCATAATGATAAATCACATAAATGTGGTTAGCCTATGACAAATATCCCATGAATACTACTTTGATAGCCGTCCATGACTAATGCGCATGGCTTTGGAGTTAATGTTCGTTGAGGTAAAAAACAGTCGCCCATCATCAATTCACAATAGGATGCATGTTACCTTTTTTACTTGGTGAGTGGTAACCGCGTTTGTTAATCCCGATCGTGAAGCCTCACTAGTTTTGGAAGAAAATACCAGCGTCTTCTTTGCATCTCCTTGAACTGGGAGCACACCATTTCTTATTTCACAAGGTTATGAACATAACGTGTAACGATATGTGGCTTTCACAAATTTGAATTCAAAGGACTGTTTCAAAAACAGAGACCATATCCATCCATTTGAAAGTTGGTTTATCTTTTGACCAAGGAAAGCCAAATATCGTGTCCCAAGAAAAGCTGGTCCGTGCCCACAGGACCAGACTCTCGCGACGGGGCGAAATTCTCCGCCGACCGGGCGAGGCTCTCCGCCGGCCGGGCGAGGGTCTCCGCGGACCGGGCGAGGGTCTCCGCGGACCGGGCGAGGCTCTCCGCCGGCCGGGCGAGGGTCTCCAGTCTCCACCGACCGGGCGAGGGTCTCCAGTCTCCACCGACCGGGCGAGATTCTCCGCGGACCGGGCGAGGGTCTCCGCGGACCGGGCGAGGGTCTCCGCGGACCGGGCGAGGCTCTCCGCCGGCCGGGCGAGGGTCTCCAGTCTCCACCGACCGGGCGAGGCCGTCTCCGCGGACCGGGTGAGGTTCTCCGCCAGTCGGGCGAGGGTCTCCAGTCTCCACCGACCGGGCGAGGTTCTCCGCGGACCGGGCGAGGGTCTCCGCGGACCGGGCGAGGTTCTCCGCCGACCGGGGCCGCCGACGCCGGTCCGTTGCGTGCGGCGCGCGGGTCGGGCCGGCCGGTCCGTTCGGACGGTGCATGACAGATCTTAATTAGTCAGCTGTAGATGGCCGGATGGGCGGCGCTCTCGGTCGACCGGCAGATGGTATCGGTGACCGGCGCCCGGACGGGGGTCACCGGCCGACCCGCGCCCGCTCGGCCGACCCGCGCCCGCTCGGCCGACCCGGCCGCGCCGACAGGTACCGAGAAAAGGCTGCGCGCAGCTCAGCCTTCGTTCCTAGGCAAGACGAATGGGCGAGACCACGCTCACCTGTGGACGGAAGTGCCGAGTTTTCCAGACGATGTCGTGACGTCTAGTGGCCTGGATATGGTGGCAATAGTTGTTGGGTTTAGTCAGGGATTAGTATACGGGAA